GGCAGCGTGGCTCGGGCCCTGCTGGGCGATGGCTCCTTCAGGGTGCGCGCGGTGACGCGCAGCCCCAGGAAGAAGGCGGCGGAGGAGCTGAGGCTCCTCGGGGCTGAGGTGGTGAAGGCAGACCAGGACGATGAGGCGTCGCTGGAGAGAGCTTTGGAAGGCGCCTACGGAGCCTTCGTGGTCACCAACTTCTGGGAGCACTGCAGCAAGGAGAAGGAAATCGAGCAGGTACCTGTGACACTTTGGCTAGGACCTCGTGTGGAATGACCTGGGACAGCCCTAGAAGCAGTTGTGCTGGCCCTGGTGGTTTGAGTGGCCAATTCAGGAGAGCTCTGAGGCCTCACAAACACCACGTCTTAGTTCTTCAAAGCCAGAACTTATCCCCTGTTCCCTCATAGTTGTGTGTCTCCAGGGTCTGGTGCCTTCAGGGAGTTGTTACATGCCACAGGGCTTGGCGTGGTGGAGAGCACTGCCCAAGAGTAGGAACCCTTGGCTCCACAGAGCCTTTCTGGAGCTGAGCAGGGCCTGTTGCTGCCTGTAGTTCTCTGTGCTTGCAGCTTTGGGGCCAAAATCCAGCAGTATCGAAGATCCCAAGAGCAGTGCTTACCTTGGGACTGATTCCCCAGGGTGGCACGATTGCCACACCTGGATGGCAGCAAACAAAAGATAAGATACGTTAGGGCAGGTACATTGGCAAGGCACATTTTTTGGGCTGGTGTTTGCGTGCTTGGTGGAGCAGTGAGCACCAAAGCTGGAGGGTGTGTGGTCTTTCTGAAGCAGAGTGGTGTAAGAAGATGTTCAGCTCCACCTGGGCAACTCAGAGGACTTGCTGGTGTGCTCAGCCCAGGTCCCAGCTGAGAGCTTGAGGTGCTCAGCTGGTGTGGGTTGGGTTGGGTCTTGCCCTCCTGCTCATCATCTCAAAGGGGAAGGGAAGGGTGTGGGGGTGATAAGAGCCCCACGTGTCCCTTTCCCCTCTTCATGGCTGGTTTTTCCCCTCACCCAGGGGAAGTGTCTTGCCAACCTGTCGAAGCGCCTGGGCCTGCGCCACGTGGTGTTCAGTGGCCTGGAGAACGTGGAGCAGCTGACAGGGGGACGGCTGAAGGTGCTGCACTTTGATGGCAAAGGTGTGGTGGGGGAGTACTTCCAGAAGATTGGTGTTCCCACCACAACCATCCGGCTGCCCTTCTACTTCGAGAACTTCCTCTCCATCTTCAAGCTGCAGAAGGCCCCACAGGGAGACACCTTTGTCCTGGGTAAGCAGCACCTCTTGCTCTCCAGGTCACTGTCCTGTGACTGTTCTTGTTGGCTCCCACCCTGCAGGGGCTCACTGAGGCATGGAGGGACCACCAGGGCTGTGGGCGGATGGGGTAAAGAGGCCTGTGCTAGCTTGGCCACGGCCAGTTGCAGCTGTGTTATGGTCCTTCAGACCTGTTTGGTGGCCTGCAGGAAATCAGTGAGATTTCAGGCCTGTTTGTGGTGCTGTTTGTCCAGAGTGGCTCTGGACACCCCAAGTCCCTGCAGTTGGGATGGTGAAGGTGGTGGGGCTGGAGATCCAGGCAAGTCACAGTGCTGCTCTGGCTGTCAGTCTCTTGGCTCAGCCCTGCTCTGGTGCCTTGCCACACTTGCCACTGCTCTAGGCCCTTCCTCACCCTGTGTTTGGAGGCCGAGTGCCAAAAACTCCAGCTGTACCTCCCCAGACCTGTGCTACCCTCCAGCTGGAATGAATCTCTCCATACAGAGCTGCCCATGGGGGACACCCCAATGGATGGAATGGCTGTGGAGGACCTCGGGCCTGTTGTGCTTTGCCTGCTGAATTCCCCGGGGGAGTACATCGGCCAAGTGATAGGGCTCAGCACTGGGAAGCTCACCGAGGCCGAGTATGCCACTGTCATCTCCCAGCAGACAGGCAAGACTGTGACAGCCAGCAAGGTAGGAATTGTCTCTTGGTGTACCTTATGCTCTTGAGGGACAGCTTTGGTACAGCCCAGCACTGTTATTCCCAGTTGTTATTCCCCACTGTTATTCCCAGTGCCCTGTGTGGGGCTGGAGCACAGCTCAGCACTGAAACCACCCTGTTGGTATTGTCCCTGAGACAACTCGTGCCTGAGGAGCACAAAGGTGTACCTAGGCAGGTCTGTGCCTGTCTCCAAGGGATAACCAAGGTGGGAGGGCTCTGGAGGAGCCAGGACTGGGCACCCACAGAACAGGTCTCTGCTGCGTGCCCTTCCCTGTGCACAGCTTGCCCTGGGGCTTTTCTGTGTCACCGTTAGAGCACTCCTGGCCACTCCCTGCCCCTGCCTGACTTCTTGTCCTGTTTGCATTTCGGCTGTGCTGATGCCCTTGGGCAGCTCAGACAATGGACCAGGGGTGTGCCGGCTCTGCTTTGAGAACAAAGGGCATTTCAGCACAAATGAAGCACCTCTGATGCTCTTTGCAAGATTTGCTCCCGCAGGGACAAAGCAGCAGCTCTTTTCCTCCTCAGTGCAGTGCAGAAGCCCAGTGAGCCACCCTTTGATTCAGGCAGGGAAGGCAGTGCTTGGGGTGGCAGGTGGCAACTTGGGTTGCTTGGGCTCTCCAGAGTCCCCCTGGACCCCCAAGTTTCTAACCCACTCAGCTTGTGTCCCGGTGCAGGGAAGGGCTCCCTTATAGCTGCTCCAGGCCTCTGGTGCTGTGGAGAGCTGGTTCCATGCCCCAACAGCAGTGCCCTCCTCACCGGTGGCAGTGCTGTGACAGGCTACTCTGATGGAACCCTGTCAGTTTCCCTGCACAGGCTCAGGGAAAGCCCCAGCAGCCTCTGGAACCACTTTTTTTTCCCTATTCTGCTGTCAGATCACACCAGAGGAGTATGAGAAGCGAGACTTCCCAGGGGCCAAGGAGCTGGCTGACATGTTCCGTTTCTACGCCCAGAAGCCAGACCGCAACGTGGCCCTGACCATGAAACTCAACCCCAAGGCTCGCACCTTCCAGCAGTGGGTGGCAGACAACAAGGCCTCCTTCTGAGCCTCCCCCTTCCTCCTCTTCCTCCCCAGCTTCTGCAGCAGGTAGAGGGAACTGGCCGAGGAGGTGAGGTGCCCTGAGCCATGCTTCCTTCCCAGCAGTGCCCCGGGGAGAGCTTTGGGCCATGTTCCTGGGGCTTGGCTGAGACTCTTTAGGCAGCTAGAACAGGAGGAAGGGCTACACAGTGCAGGCACAGTGGTGGAAGGGCTACCTCTGCTCTGTCCTCAGGGAGGTGTTGCTTTAGTCATTCTGGGTGTTTTATGGTGGCGGTGGCTTGTTTTCCCAGGATCACCCCCTTTCCCAGGCAGCTCTGAGCATACCAGTTGGTGGGCTGAAGGCACAGTACCCTTGGGCCCCAAGAGTAGTGCCTTTGTGGCAGGTACCACAGCCAGTGCTGCTGCAGGCTCCTAAGCAAGCAGCAAACACTTGGATTTCTCTGGGGAGCCAATTTTAGGCACTGCAGGTGAACCAGCAGAGAGAGACAGAGCCTTAGTGCCACCCCAGCAAGTGGGGACTATGTGGTTACTCCTGTGCATGTAAGACAAAAGCTGAACTTGATTCCTCAAGTCATACAGCTCTGGCCCTTGGGCTCCTGGAGCTAATTGGGGGATCCTAGAGCTAATTTCAATTTCTGTCCTTGTGAGTTAAGTAAAATTCCATCTTCCAAGGCTGTCTAAGACTCACTAGTGTCTTCCCCCTCACCCTCATGTGCTTAAGGTACTGCTCAGATTTGGCAGCTTTGCCTGTGCTTAAAGTCAATCCCAGCCCCCAGAGGTGCTCAAGCCAACCAACCCTGTCCCCTCCTTGTCCCAGAGACCTTCATTCCTCCTAGTGGGGCAGGGAAAGGGGGTGACAGAACAGGTGGAAGAGTAGACAAGGCAGCCAAGGCACAACACATGTTAAATATCTTTATGAAGTCCATCTTATTTACATGATACAGAAACACTTTACAGACAGTTGGGTCAGGAGGCAACGTGTGCTTTATTCAGCGAATTAAGAAGGGCAAGACTACACCATGTCCCTGTTGAACTGATCAATTAGTACATGGGCTGATGGTACCTGCATGGTATGACTCACACAGCAGGCCATGGTGACCATGAAATACTCACTGCAAGAGCTTGGCTGCACCTGGAAGGAGTGATCCACCTCACTTGCACTCTCACACATGTACAAACAACAATGCTTTGGCCAATCCTTTATGCTATGGGTGTTGCACTAAGGTAATAAAAGATTTTGTCCCAAACTGGCGAAGGGTTTGGTGATAAACTTGTACCCACTCAGAAGCAACAGCAGTTGTGTGGTAACTGTAGTTATTTGGGGGATAAACCTGAGGCAAAGTGCAGATTCCATCGCTGCTCTGTGCAGGCAATCAGCAGGACTGAGAAAGCCCATGGCTGCAAGGCTCACAGGGAGCTCTCACTCGGAGCTGTGCAGGGCAGCAGAGCTGTCGTGAAGACAGGGTTAAACCTCCCTGACCAGCCCAGTCTCCTGGGAGAAGGTGAGCAGTGGTTGAGTTCACCAAGCACACCTGGCACTCCAAAGGGCACCCGAGTGATCCACAGGTGGGCTTGGGCTCCATACAGCAAACTGCTCCACTCTGCTGGAAGGACAATGTTTACTTCACATTTCCCCTGGTTTGGATTCTAAATAATACTTCCACCTTAATTTTTACCCGATAAGCTTCCAGCAGCAGTAGAACTGTGGAGCAGCCTACACAGAGCTGCTTTCCTGCAAATCTGGCATTTTCCTTCGTTGCCAGTTCCTAGGACGGTGGGTGGGACTTGTATCACGATGGGTGTTGGTGCCTCGGTGGTTTGTGGCCTCTCCAGCTGGGATTCTCACTGTGCTGCTGACTGACATCCTCTGCTCTCCAGAGCCCACTGCCAGAGAGATTCACCCCCGACTGCACAGCTGATCTGCTGCTGGCTCCTAGTTCCCAGCAGAACGTTTCCCTGTGGTTGAAGCAAGAGCAAAGTTAAGATTTCCTGGCTAAATTGGCACACAGCCCACTCTGGGAACACCTCCCCCTCCTGCCCTGCCATCACACTGTCAGCCACACAGCACAGACAGGTTTGAAGCCTACAAAGATGCAAAGCTGAGCCCCTAGAATCTGTGTCTGCTATAAGCAATTCCAAGTCCCAGCACTCCCTCACAGCAGGCCAACACCAACCGAAGGCACACAAGTTACACACTGCACTGATGCATGGTGGGGCTTTGCTGTGCCCTGTGACAAAGGCTCTGTGACTCCTCCTTGGTACTGTAAGCCCATGGCAGAGGCAAGTCCAGCCCTGGTGTGTCACACCAGTGGCTCTAGGCCCTCCTGTGCCTCCAGCAAGCTCAGGCTCTGCATGGCAGAACCTGGTCCCAGTGTTAGCAGCTCACAGAAACACCCTCAGTGCTCAGAACTGGGCACAGCTCTTGGAGCAGAGCTCCAGGGGAGGTCAGCCACCTCCCCGAGCATGCACCCAGTATTTGTTCTGCTTTTTGCTGTAGCAACAAGGCAGTTTAATCCCTGGCTTGTTGCTCCAGGTCCCAGGGGACAGCTAGGGGTTTTCACCCCCCTGGCTGGAAGGCCTGAGGCTAAGTGAGAAGGTGATTCTCCCTCCCAGGAAATGCTCAGTGTGGGGGAAAGACAACAGTGAAACACAAGAGACCTCCTACCTCGGATGGGGTTTCAGGAGGTAAACATTTTCTTAAGTTTGGAAAGGAATCCCTCCTTGTTCTCCTCAGCCTCAGGCCTATCCCCGCCTGCGTCAGCGCTAGCCGTGGCCCTGCCACCTGGACACAAACAGCAAAGGGCTGCAGTCAGAGACATCTCCCACCAGTGCCAGGGGGTCATTTTAGACAGGGAATGGCCAAGTGAAGGCAGCTGGTTGTGCTGCATCCTCACATAGGGCTGCACCTTGCAGCAAGCCACAGGACAGGCCCACTTGCAGTGAAAGCCCTGGGGAGCCTGGATCCCAGAGGTGGAAAAGCCAAACGTGTGCCCAGGTAACACCACTCCCTTCCCCTCTCCCCAGCCCTCCAGCTGGTGAGGGAATTCTCGTGCTGCACAATCAAGTCAGGGACCCACTGGCTTTGGGAACAGGCACTTGGAAATGAGTGCCTGCCACTGAAAACAAGTTGTGAACTTGATCACAGCCAGCCAGGACTTTACAGGGTTAAAAAAGCTGGACTGGTGGTCCCTGGAACAAGCTCATACTGTTTCAAGGTTGTATCCTTGCAAAGCAGTGCAAAACCATAAGGGAGCCTGACTGGTGTCACTGCAAGCAATGCTCAAACATTATCAAGGAGAAAATGAACTCGGGATAGGATGAAAAAGGCTACAAATATTTCAGAACAAGTATCCAGATAAAGAATCTTATAACTGTCCTGTAAAAACACCTTCTGAGAAGCTGTTTGTCCCTCCAAAAGTGGCTACAGCAAGAACAAAGGAGACCTCTTTGCTAATCTGGTTTTTTTCTACAGTAAAACCATCAATACTCTGACTCCAAACTCCTCCTCAAGCTTTCTTTGTGCACAGAGAACACGAAGTCCAGCCCTCCCCATCCTCCCGGGGCTGACTGCCGGGCTGGGACTGATGCAATGGTAAGAAATCCCGAGGCCTGCGGCAGAACACGCCTCCATCCACCGGGTCACGCCTCCATCCGCCCGGAACATTGCTCCAGAACAGCCTGTTGCACTGCAACCTACTGGCACTGGTTTTAACCCACCTTGCTGCTCCACCGTGATAAAAACTGGCAGATTTGCTTATTTACAAAAAACAGCACATTTTTTCCCTTTGGTATATAAATGCCCTTAAAAACTGAAATGGCAGTTTTGTGCTTAGAACTCTCTCCTCTTCCCCCCGAGGCTGACTGTAACGTGGGAAAGACATAACTTCTGTGTTAGGAAAGCACTCTAAAACAGAACATTGGGAAGTATTTGGCAGATGGCACCTTCCAATATCCTGCACTTCTATTCCTCAGGCTTTGGTGTGTAACAGAGCAGACACAGGTTTCTGGGATCATTCAGCTCTGAAAGGCTCTTACCTTTGGTTTCAAGCCAAAAAAGAAATCCTAAGAAGTCCATTGTTCCAATATAAGCAAAGAAAAAGTTGTTTTCCAGTAGTGAAAAACAAAGCTCCTTGCTATTCCACCATGTGTTTAGCCTTTAGCTGCTGCCCTGCCAGGTCCTTCACCTCTGAAACTTCAAACAGTTGCTGAATCTGTTTTCCACGTGGGGCTGGGACAGCAGCTTCCCAAAGCTCCAAGCTGACTCTACTCCTCCACCACGCTGGATGCTGTGTGCTGACTGGAGCCAGCACTCACACCAATGGACACTCCTACCCCAGGTTCCCCCTCATGCACAGAGCTCCACCTGACAGCAAAATTCCCCATCAGCATCCCAGAAGAAGCATCCCTGCTGCAATCAGAAGCACAGCAGATGGACTCACATGGAAAACTGGCCTGGAGCACATTTGCTTTTCCCTTCTCTGCTACTAAGGCAAGTCCTGGCACAGAGGCAGAAGCAGTGAGTGGGAGACATTCACCACCACAGTTTGCCAGGACCCTGGAGTACCTCAGTACCTGCTCTCTGTTCACACATGGATTGTCCAGTCAGTACTGAAATAAAGCTTCCTGGGAGAAGCTTCTCCCTTTATGCTACAGCTTACCATGCTATTTCCCAAACACTATGCTCAGCAGGCTGTGCTGCCTCACATTCCTCCTCAGGAACCCTCAGGAAGTGCACTACACTCCCTCTCCAGCTGCATGAGGCAGGAGCAGGAGATGCCCCACTCACCTGACGCTGTGTTTGTGACCCCATTCACTGTGCCGTCCACATCTGCCTCGTCCTCGGCGTAGCTCATCATTAAGGCTCGCTGGCGATCCGTCAGCCTCCTGTGGGCCAGGACAGGGGATGGTTACAGCTCTCCTTGGGGACAGGTGTACCTACAGATCTCCTAAACCTTGTTCAGCAGCACCCACAAGACTGGAAATACAGGTACTAGAAGGTACTGTATTACCAGGTACTGGAAGTACAAGATGAACACCAGGAATACACTGGGAATCCCTGCAGTGCTCTTAAAATGAGCCATCTATAAAGAATAGTTCCCAGTGGGAGAGACAGGACTCATTTCCTTGCAGTGAAAATCCCAAGAACAGTAAGGAATAAGGAATTCTGCACACCATCTTTTACAAGAAGTTCATGATTTCACAGAAACTTGTTTTAGCTCTACTTACTGAGGAATTTTGATCTTTATGTGGATGTAGTGGTCTCCATAGCCGTAACTGTTGACCTTGGGAATGCCTTTCCCACTCATTCGAATTCTCTGGTCTGGCTGCATCCCAGGGGGTATCTGGGAACACAGATGTCACGTTTATCACTCTAGTTTAACCACTTATATAGTAACTACACATCTGTACAAGTGTACTATGCCCCCAGCAAGCTTCAAAGTAGGATGGGAGGGCTCTGCTATGCTCATGCATCAGGAAACATTCCAAAGTCAGTAAAGATGGAAAAGCTTTTGAAGGGATGAGTAAAGAACATGGCATAGTCTGTAGCCCTCAGAGGGGATTTGTCCAGCAATCCCTTCCTTTTCCTGTCCCTGCACAGCAAGGAAAGGAGCTATGACCAGACAGGTCACAAACTACCTGAGGGTCAATCCTGAAGGAGTCTGAAATGCAATACTGGCAGATTTTTCCCAGCTTTGCAGCAAAAGAGAAGCCTCTGCTGTGCCCCATGGATTTGTGCCCAGCACAGTGGTACTCACTGTGATGTTGATTGTCTCGTATAAGCCTTGACATCGGGCTGTGCCTCCCAGCACAGCCTGTGCTATCGAGATTGGCAGATCCGAGTGGATATCTGCTCCATTTCTTCTGAACACAGAACTTTTCTGAACCTAAAAGGCAGGTAAGTTCCAAAGAGAAGTGAGCACACCACCACCAAGTTCTCCTGGTAAACTGCTCTGAAGATTCTCAGAAGAAAATGCACTAGAACGCTGCAGTCAGACCCTCTGCCATCCCCACACTGCCCAGCTAAGAACTGTGAGTTAATATTTGCTCGTCTAGAAAAACACAGACCTTGACATAATTATAATTAGCCAGAGGTTTATCAGGATCCCTGCTTCCTACCTCAGCAACTCCCACCCCTAATCCTGTTAATTTATCCATGCCAGTATGATTCTATGGAGACAAAGACACTGCCTTGTCCAGTACCCTGAAGAGGAGCAAGCCAGAAGGAAAGAAGTAGGAAAGCACCTTTGTCATGGCCTCACAAGCTGGAAGAGAAATAAACCCTCCTGCACCAGAAAAAGAGCACTGAAAAGAACTTCTCCTTGCCAGAGATGTGTGTGACAGAAGAAGCCAAAGACTCAAGGCATGAAGAGCCTACTCTGTATTTTGATTCACACTACCCTAAGGACCTGGTCCTGGAAGAAGCAGCTGGATTCTCCATGAGCAGATTCAATGTTACCTCCCTTGTTACAATGCAGATCTCCTGCTGTCTCAAAAAGTTCATGTGGATCACATTACCTCAGCTGTTCCAAGGGATCACTCGCTCTTCCTCCTCCTCTGCCCATTCTGCAGTCACTTCCCAGGCAGTTGTGAAGGGAACAACCAACTTAAATAATAAACCAACGTAGGATACATACCCTGAAAGTAATGAAAATTTCTTTCTTCCCCACAGGCATCCGAACTGTCTGGCCATCCTCAACACCTGCAAGCAGCACAGGAGGGAATGTTACCCTGGGATATAATCCACGTGTGATATGGATACCTACAACTCTTGCCATCCCCAAGAGTCAGCCAGCACAGCAGTTCCCACACATCCCACAGCACAAGGCTCTGCACAGGAGCGTGGCCCAAAGAGGAGGTGTCAGCACATGTTTATACCTCTGAGGTGATTGCTACACCCCAAGCTGGCTTCTTGCTTCAATCCCTACAGAATTCTTTAGGGAAATGCATTGGATTAAGGAACATGGCAGTCTCCGTGAGCTGCAGGAAAATTCCAGGCTGCTCATGCAGCATGGGCTCCAAGAAGCAAGTCTTCAGCCACACACTATATCATCCTCTCTGGCAAGGAAGGCTGCCAGCATGCCCTTCTGAGCTTTCAAGATTCCCATGCTCTCCCCAAGGCTCATCAATGACAAATGAAAGCCCCACGGCAACAAAACCTTTGGAAAGTTTCACCTTTCAAAACCTACTAGGAGGACCCATGCAAGAACAAAATCTCAGAAAGGGCAAACACTCATATCCATGGCCAGAAGGTTCACCTCATCACTAGCCCAATGCCATTGCCAGTGTATTGACCTGCTTTGCTCCTAACTTGTCTGCAGCAAAACTTCTGACATTGCTCTTGACTGCTCTTGCTGGCAGGGCCCAGCCACACTGTTGGCTATAAGTTACTACAGTTATTTAACAGAGAGCAGCACACACTGACCAGCTGGCACAGGAACCATCACTGTCTTCTTCTGCTTGGTCTGCCCCGTGCCGCGGCACACGACGCAGTGCGTGGTGATGATGGAGCCCGCCCGCCGCAGCGTCGGCACGTGGAGCGCATCACGAACGGGCCCGTGTTTATTGTCTCCTGGGGAGGCACAGGGGGAACAGGTACTGAGCACTCACTCTGCCACACAGCATGGCCACTGACTGGCACAGCACGTCTGAGCTCTCTTAATTGCACACACAGCCTGACAGGACAGAGAGATCCTTTAGCAAGGGCCGATATCCTTTAGCAAGGGCCGATATCCTTTAGCAAGGGCTGGCACAGAAAACTGCTAATCCAAAGAGGAATCTGTTTGGCAGTCCTCAAGTTAGAATTTGAATTCCTGTAATCCAGGAATCCAAAGAGGATGCTGCTTGGGAGAAGTTCCAGTTTCCACTGAACACCTTTACTCCTATGAGGAAGTGTCTGGTGGCAAGGGAAAGGGAAGCACAACACCTTCCACCTCTAGGCTTTAGTGCACCAGAAGGAACAAAGCTCCTGACAATACTACAAACATCTGTGTTCTGAGGAATCCAAGGACTTGCATGAATTACTGCCAGTGTCCAGGAGAATGTTATGGTGTGGGTTGAAGTGTGAGAGCCACCCACCAGACTAAGGCACATGAGCAACTAGGTGTGTGGAAACTCAAAACCTGCAGCTTGGTCATTATCTGCTGTTAGTAATCTGCATCTTCTTACTTCAGGATTACCCTTAAGCTATCATCACCTTCCTCTACCCCTCAAGTCAAAGGATCACATTTAATGCCCAAGGAATTTCAGAGCTGTTACATAAGAATATGGTTTTGGGGATGTCCAACAGCAAAGGATCCAGCCTGAAGCCTTGTGCTTTCAGCTGGGCACAGCACTTCTTTAACACAAAGCAAATCTTCTTAGTGCCTATTAGCAACAAGCTGACCTTAACTCAGCTTTACTGAGTTGAATGGCTGATGACTGGTGAGAATTTTTCACCATGGAATGAACTGACTTGCCCCAACAAGGAAAAGCAGACTGGTGCTCTACAAAGAACTCACCATGCCAGTGCCATTGCAGTAGTGACAGTGCTGCACTTTGGTGCCAGGTTCATTTCCTCTGCCATTGCATCTCTCACAGGAGTCTTGGATGTTCACCACAATCTCCTTGTTAACACCTTTTGCAGCTTGAGTGAATGTCAGTTCCATGATATACTGTACAGGAAACACAAATATTGATCTATGGGTGATGGGGTGTTGGATTGATTTGGGCCAAATATCAAATAATGCTTAAAATACATCCAGGTAATAGGGGGAAATTAAATGGATGGCTGCACAATCACTCAGAAGGGTTTGCCTCACCTGAAGAAGCAATAACCTCTCTCAAATAAATACAAAACAGGTACAAAAGGGTCACAGACATTGCAGAAGTGATGGTTACACCAGGCTGAGGAGCAGCTGTGCAGCAGCAATGAGATTAAAAATAGAAAAGAAGGAAGTAAAAATAGCAGTCAAGTGTTTCTCTGCTCTTAGGAAACCCTCCCTGTTTCTGAAGGTTTTGTTTCATGGGAATGCAGCAACAGGTGAGGCTGAAGGCTTTCCATCCCAACAGCAGTAGCTGCTCTTCCTCAGTAAAGGAAGTCATCAGCAAAGATGACTGCACAAAAAAAAAGAGGAAATTCTCTTCATAACAGAAAGGTCACTTCTAGTAAAACCAGAAGTACCAAATACTTCTGAAAGCACCACATGGACTGACAACACTGAAAGGAGCTTTTAGCTGCAACATGAACAAGACAGAGTTTGTCTTATTGTGGGCTCCACTGCAAAGTTAGACCAATTAAGCTGCAAAATTAAGCTAATTAAACAGTCAAACCTATGGCTGGAAGGCCTGGTTTATAGTTACAAGGCATTTTGTGGGTTTTAGCATTAGAGATCAAAGCAGGCACATGTAACTCAGCCTGCAGCAGAGGAGATCCTCTGCAGCCAGGAACTGTTCAGCAGCGTGACACGTGCCAGGAAATACTGGAGGAAGTAGCCCAAGTCCAGACAAAACATTCTGTCTGGAGGCGAGAATGTTTCTGCACAGCTTATCAAACATATGTGACTCTTCCCCCAGGCCACAGGGCACTCAAACACTGACATTCCTAGAAATCACAGAATCATCCAGGCTGGAGGAGACCTCTAAGATCATTGAGTCTAACCATGAACCTGTCACTGCTGCAACCCCTGAACCACATATTGCTGTGCCAGGTCCAGACACCTCTTAAACACCTCCAGGGATGGTGACTCCACCACCTCCCTGGGTAAACCTATCCCAGTGCCTGAACACCCTAACAGGGAAAACATTTTCCCTAATATCTAATCTGAATCTCCTGTCTCAGCTTAGTACTTAATTCTACGCTGAAGCTCTCACTCCTGGAGTGCTCTGTGACAAGACTAGTGTCCCTCTCCAACTTCTGAGCTTCTCCTTACATTAATAAACAAAAGGCACTTCCTACCTCCTGTGGCTGGTCAAAGACACTCTGAAAATCGCCGAAAGGGGATCCTGAAAACTCCCCAAAGATCTTCTTGAAGAGCTCCTCGGGGTCGATGGAGGGACCACCGCTCCAGTACTGCCGCCCGGCCCCGGCGCCTGCGCCCGTTGCGCCGGCGTCGAAACTGGCAGTGCCATAGGCATCATACTGCTTCCGCTTCACCTCGTCACTCAGCACCTGCCAGGCAAACAGCAGGGTCAGCAGGAGCCTGGGTGGATCCAGAGTGACCAGAAGAATCCCTGGCACTGCCCCCAGGAGCCCACGTGCTCAGCCCCTCCTGCCCCTCGCCCAGCTAATCACGGCACCACAGGAGTTATGGAAATGCTGCTGCTTCCCTGGTGTCTCTGGCTCATTTCCTCAGGGAAATGACCAGGTCTTACCAATTTATAACAAGCAGGAATAACTTGGATCATGGAGTTGATCATTAACATATCAGGTGAAGGCTGGTAGGAGTGCTGGAGTCAGAAGAAGGGGATGGGGGAGCACAGAGAAGGTTTCTCTGTATCAAACACAGGTTTTGTATTTGACTGTAAGAATTCCATGGCAGTGACTGCTGCATCCATGCCAGTCACTCACTGCTAAAGAAGAGCACAAACTGGGAGAGCACAAAGCAGCTAAATGAGGTACTTCCCAAGTAATCTCCTGGAGGCACCATTGGGACAGAGGCCACAGTTATATGGGAAATGTTTCCCCCCATCTACTCTCCAATCTTTCCTCCTTTCCATCACAATAAAATCATGCTGTTACCTCATAGGCTTCTGCCAGCTGAGAGAACTTCTCCTTTGCCTTGGGGTCATCCTTATTTGTGTCAGGGTGGTACTTCTTTGCCAGCTGAACAACAAAACCCAAGCGTTTAGAGACAGGCAGAAGTTACCTATTTCAGCATATCTCATGCGCCAGGAAAAACACATCAGGCAGAGCTTGGCATTCACTAGCTACATTGCAGGGAACGAAAAGCCTTCATTTTCCACTACCAACCCAAAATAAGGGACTACAGGAGCTGCTCCTGATCCTCTCAGCAATCTCAGATAACTCCAGAAGGAGCCAGCACACGCAGGCCATGCTTTGGAAAAAATCCCCACAGCCACGTCCTGAACTTTTCCACTGCTCATTCGCCTTGTCTCCAGCGGATCC